CGCCATCCAGGTGTCCAGGTGAGGCGGGCGCTGAGTCACGGCGCGGCGCGGGCGGCGGCCGAGGGGCCGGGCGGCGCCGCCGCATCCGCTCGCTCCTCCGCCATGGTCTGGCGGCGTGTCCGTGCGAGCAAGGGCGGCGGGGGCGGCGCGGGGCGGCACGGCATGGAACGGGACGGGACGGGACAGGATGGGACGGGACGGGACGGGGGGGTGCCGAGCAGGGGTGTCCGGAGCGCAGCCCCGCGCCCACCCGCCCGCACCTCCCGCCGTCTGCTCCGCAGGATGATGCGCCCGGACGACGCCAACATCGCGGGCAACGTGCACGGCGGCACCGTGCTCAAGATGATCGAGGAGGCCGGCGCCATCATCAGCACCCGCCACTGCAACTCCCAGGCCGGGGTGAGCGAGCGCACGGCTGGGGCACGCGGCCGTGCCGGGGCTCAGCGTGAGGCACCGGCTCCCGCCCCGTGCGCCTTCCCATGGCGCGGCGCGGCTGCCATGCGGCGCGGGGCGCCCTGCGGCGCGGCCTCCCACGGGGCCGCTCTCCAGAGCCTGCCCGCCAAAAGGCAGCGCCTGGCACGGCGCCCGCCCCGTCCCGCGGGGCCGCGGGCGCTTCCTTCCTTCGCTCCCTCCCTCCTTCCTCCCGCCGCGGCTCTGCTGACGTCAGGCGGTCAAGTGCCGCGCGGGAGAGATGCTAACGGTGACGCCCTTTGCCAGAAGGAGCCGCATTTCCGCGCAGAGCCCTGGTGCGGCGGCGCTGCCGGGGCTTCCCCCGCCTCTGCAGGGCAAGTCGCRTCGGGCGAGCGCGGCCTTGTCTGTGGGCTGGGCTGCGGCGCTCGTGGGCACCCGCAATGCCCCTCTGCTGGCACCCGCRCCCTGCTCGGGGACACCGCTGTCACCCCCGCTGCTGGGACAGGCGTGCGCTGCATGTGCTCTCCTCGCTGTCTCCTGCCGGGCTGGAATCGCTCGCCTCCCGGGCACAGCAGAGCCTGGCGGGCGGCACCGCGGTGCTGCCGGAGCCCTGGCGCGGTGCTTGGCCTTGGCACGCGGCTGAGCCCAGCCCATCTGCGCCCACAGGAGCGCTGCGTGGCCGTCCTGGCTCGCGTCGAGCGCACCGACTTCCTCTCGCCCATGTGCATCGGGGAGGTGGCCAACGTGAGCGCGGAGATCACCTACACCTCCAAGCACTCCGTGGAAGTCCAGGTCACTGTGCTGTCTGAAAACATCCTAACAGGTGAGTGCTGCCAYGCCGGGCTCCAGGCCTGTCCAGCGTCCCCATGGTATTTCCCTTTGAGACCRGGGCCGTGGTTTGTGCTTCGCTCTCCTGCCGCGTGCCCCCTCGCAGGACGTTTTCTGTGTCACAGCGCTGCTGGGCGCTCTGCTGCCGGGGGACCGTGGCACCCATGCTAGAGGGCTGCGCTTGCCCGCGAGCTCCACGCTGCCCTCGGCTCGCCACGCTGCTCCAGCCCTTCRCGGCGGCCCCGCAGGCCCCGTGCACGCCGGGCAGAGCGTGCCGGTTCAAATCCTGCTGTGTGCTGTGGGGAGCGCCCCGGCTCTCTGGGGGCACCAACGTGCCCACGGGGCTGCCGAGCCGACCGTGAGGCAGCAGCCGACCCACAGCTGGAGYGCCCAAGGAACGGGTGTGCTCAGCTGTGAGCTGCTGGCGATCAGCACGGTCCTTAGCCCTTCCCAAAGAATGCATGGACGAGCTTGACATGGGCTTCTCCCTTGGCATTCGAGGAAGAAACACAGGAATTGGGCCAAAAGCAGCGTGCAGAAAGTATCATCGCAGGAGCCTTTGAGCGCAGAGGGAGGCCCCGGCCCTGCCCTTGTGCACGGGCCTCTCGGTGCGGGAAGGYGCGGGCGTGCGGCGCTGCAGCCCTGCCTGCGGGCGCAGTGCTGTGGGGATGCAGCGCGACGAGTGCGCAGCAGGAGACAGGGAGGGCCGGGAGCGAGGGTGGCGGAGCGGCAGGGAGGAGCGCGGTCCTGCGGCTCCCAYGGGGCTCCTCGGGCTTGCGCTTCTTCGGATAGCTTTCCCGAGGGAAGTGGGAACCCACGGTTAGCTGATGATGCGTGAGCCGGTGCCGCCGCTCGCTCGGCGCGGGAGACGGCCCCTCGCTGGGGTTGCTGTGGCAACTCGCGGCGCGGCCAGGCCGGCTCCGTGCCCCGCGGCACCCTGTCACATCTGCTCCGAGTCAGCGGGCTCGGTGCCTCACCCGCTGCTCCCTGTCCTGCAGGCGCCAAGAAGGTGACGAACAAAGCCACGCTGTGGTACGTGCCGCTGTCCCTGAAGAACGTCAACAAAGTGGTGGAAGTTCCTGCCATGCAGGTGAGACCACAGCGCCCGCCTGCCGCCCCAGGGTGGCCGGGCCCTGGATCAGAACGGGGCTCCGCAGCCCTGCGCTTGCGACTGCCGAGGAGCCTCTGTGCTCACGGGCTGAGCCCGCTGAAGCCGCTCTGTGTGGAGAGCAGCAGACAAGCCGGAGGAGCAATCCCTGCCGCCCGTCCCCCGTGAATGGAAAGGGCAGGGAGGCTCTGCTTCTCCAAGCGGTGATTGTTTGAGGGGATGAATGTGTGAAAATGAGCAGAGTGAGAGGCTTCGAGCCGAGGCTTTTCCTTGCTGAGCTGTCCCTCTCGTGCCCCATCAATCTTTTCCTCTCTGACTAAAACCCAAGCAGGTTCACTCRCTATTGTTTCCCCTGAGGTTCCTGGGGCTAAAGCACCGTTTSTCCCCTCATCTTCCCCTGGACCTTTCAGGGAGGTCTTGAGTTCCGCTTCGTGATCTCTCTGCAGTTTGTCCAGCTCAGCTTGGGGATCTTTTGTATGCCCAGTCTTGGCTTGTTGTCCTGGAAAGTGTATGTTTGTGTGAGCTGCTAGGTGGGCCAAGGGGGACCCGCCAAGTTGTCTGCCCCGGCTGGAGCTGGAGGCTGTTGTGAAGTGCTCGGTCTCCTCCAAGCAGAATGAAGCCTCATGAGCTCAGCCTCGCAGGCCGGTGTTGTGCGAGGGGTGCGCCCGTCGTGCGGGCAGACAGYGGGCGAGCTCCAGCTCCGAGCACACAAAGTCCTGCGCGCTCCGCCGTGGGCACCTGGCTTTTTATCTGAGCTGAGAGCGTGTGCTCCAGCCTCTGGGAGCGGCTGAGGAGAGGCCTGGTGGAGACCCTTTGAGGGGAGTTCTGCCTGCAGGACGCCGCCTGTGGCATTAGGCTGCCGTGGTGCGCGCAGCGGAGCGCGCTCGGGGGCTGCGAAGCACCGGGAGCCAGCGGTGGGCAGGCACAACCCTGCCCCACGCGCCCTTCCCTTCCAGTACGCACGCAAGGAGCAGGAGGACGAAGGCAGGAAGCGCTACGAGGAGCAGAAGCTGGATCGGCTGGAAACRAAGCAAAGAAACGGCGATGTGATCGTCCCGATGGTGGGCCCAGGTACCGCGCGGCACCRGCGGGGCCCCGGGGTCGTGGCAGGCACATGGGTCACGGCAGGCGCGCAGGGCACTTCTCTTTGTGGATAGGCCTCCCGGTTGAGGCTCCCTCGCCGCCGCCTCTGCCTTGGCTGGAGGAAGCTCCTCGCGCAGCTCCTCGCTGCCGCACGGCCAGGGGACCAGACTGCCCTTGGGCTTCTCCCCACCGAGCGCRTGGTGCYGGCAGCGCCCTGGCCYGCGCGGCCGGGRCTGGGGGCGGGAGCCGCTCTCATGAGCTGCTCTCACGGAGCCCGGCGCTGGGCTCCGCRGCGCGGGGCGAGCGCCGCGGCGTGCCGTGTTTGTAGAGCTCGCGTGGCAGAGCACACGCAGGCGCAGCGGCTGCGCCAGCCGCGCTCCCAAGGAGGCCCCTCGGCCCTCCTCGCGCCCCTGCAGCCTCGAGCTCCTGCTCGGACAGGACCTGCGGGGCTTTGCGGGGTGATTTTGGAGATCCCCAAAGYGGTGCTTGTGCACCCGCAGCTTTGTGACGTTGCTGTCTGTGGGGCTGGCTCCAGACCACTGAAATGCTGAGTGTATCTGGCTGTCACCCCAGAATACGTGGGAATGAAGTAGCGGTGAAAAGTGACTGCAATGACAATTTGCTCAAACGTCTTTCTCCTCTGCTCTCCCTGCTCGCAGACAGGCAGACRAAAGGTAAGGCTAAGGGCCGCGTCGCAGCCGCTGGCTCCCGCGGCGCGCGCAGCCCCCGGCAGCGGGAGCGCCGGCCTGGCCTCCGCTCACRGAGCCTCAGCTCACGCTCGCTACCTTGCCTCCAGCTAAAGATTCAGGGGCTGGGAATGCAGCAAAAGATTCAGGGGGCGGGAATGGGCTTCCGGGGCTGTTTCTTCCTCTGCTGGCAATCTGAGGGCACCATTTATGTCACTTAGGTTTAGTGGCACTCACATGTCGGGTGATGCCAGCACATGCCATTACTGGGGGATGTGGGAATAGGGATGTTGTTGAAGCTGAGCTGAAAGCACAGGCCTTCTGGCGTGTTGCTAAATGGCAGATGGGTAAGTAACCGAGGCTCAGGAAAATGTAGTGTACTGTGCTTCAGTTTAGCTGATGGCCTGAGAAAGAAAACAGTGCAGCCACAAATCCCATTCAGGGTATTTTTGCTTTATTTTGAGCCTTCTGTTACCTTGAATATAGTCTTTGGGTTAATGCTAGCGAGACTTGTCAGTGCGTCATGTGTTAAACAGCCTTTTCTTCYGGGACTCTTCAGGACCGGTTTCGGTTGTTTTGTTTTGCTGAGGGGGAGCATTTCCATTTTGCATCGCTAACGCATTGCTTTCATCCTTTGAGGAGGGCTGGGTATCATGGCCAGGCTCCTGGCGCCGCTCTAGCAAGTCGGGGTGCGGCGGGTGCTGCGGCCGTCCCACGGGGCCTCACCTCTGTGCCTTGTGTCCCCTTGCTTTGAGCAGAGCCACACACCGTGGGCTACAGCCAGTCCAGCCTCATCCACCTGGTGGGCCCGTCGGACTGCACCCTGCTCGGCTTCGTGCACGGCGGTGAGTGGGATCTCTGCGCGCGGGCTCGCGGCGCCGGCGCCATCGCCCTTCCCGAGCCGCGTGTCGGGATGYGGCTGCGGGACGCGCTCGTGTCCCTGCTCCGAGCCCAGGTCCTTCTGGTGGCTGCGAAACGCAGCAGYGCTGGGGCTCAGGCAAGTGCAGAGCCTTGAGGCACACCCGGCCCCGCCAGTGTCGGCAGCTCCTGTCAGCAGCAGAATCGTCACGCGCTGTTTACCCCGCTCTGCTGCTTCGTACGTGCAGTCCATGAGTGCTCCTAACGAGCTCTGCCAGCAGAGAGCAAGGAGCGAGCCGAGCCCTGCTGGGAGTGCTGGAAATGCATGAATTGGGTGACGGGATGAAGATAATTGAGTAGCGCAGTCTCCTCGTTTCTCTACAGTGGAACATCTACGTGTGTGCCACACAGGGAGAATCGGGCTGTTCGCACCGCAGCAGTGGGCTGCCACGCTTGAAGGCGTTTTACACTTGGGCTTCTCTTTTAGGGTGTTTTCATGGAACAAATACAGGRCTGTAACTTGCAGTAGGTGCCATTCTGTACATGGGACTGTCACCCGCCTCTCCAAGGCACTGTGCTGTGCAGCTCGTGTGTGCTGGCAGCTGCCTCTGCGCTGCTGCAGCCTTAGCCCCAGGGCCCCGTGATGCTGGCACCGGGAGCACCTGAACCTGCTCTTCCCCGGTAAAGAAACAGCAGCCTGCAGCTCTGCGGAGCTGCCTTTCCTGCTGCACTGAGAAGGGTACCCGTAAGTGCAGAGCAGATTGGGGAAAATTGAATCTGGCTTTGCTGGATGTACGTGGGAGGAAACAGAGCGCGGTTCAGGGGGACTGGGGAGGAAAGCAGGGCTCCCACTTCCGAGCTGCTGGATTCTGGTGCAACTRCTGGTTAGTGAAGCGAGCCTTGTGGCCCCGCTTTCTGCAGTGCATCTGTGTAATCACACATGACCCGTCCCCGAGAAAACGGAGAATGAGCAGTTGGGCTGGAAGGAGGCTTCCTGGGAAGAGCTGCTCCCATAGGCGTTGTGCGCGGTGCCACCCGGCCCCTCGTGCCCACAGCCCCAGCAGGCAGCCCGTGCACAGGCACCGGCTCTGCCCTCCCCATGGGCAGCAGGATATAGCTGAGGCACTGGCGGGCTCGGGGGCCTGCAGCAGCCCGTGCTGCAGAGCAGCCGCGCTGGCCCTGCGACCCCGTGCGCGTCGCAGGGTGCGGGAGACGTCGCTGCGCAGCAGAGGAGCTGTGGAGGCACCGGGCTTGTCCTGCCCTGGCTGAGCTCCCGCGCGGRGAAAGGTGCCCTCCTCGTGCCTTCCAGGAACGACTTTTTTTCTCTGTTTTGAAGGGTCTGTTTTGAACAATGTTTTCAAAGGTCACCAATGTGTTGCTGCTGCTTGCAGGGTCCCCGGGCAGCCAAACGTGGCATTGGGYGATATCTCTGGCAGCACATGTTCCGTCTCGCGTTCAGAGCCAAACAGGCCTTTTCTGATGTTTAAAAAAAAATGCAGAAAACTGACTGTAAATCCTACAATTTTGCTGTCATATTTTAAACTGCAAATCTCAGATGATAAATGCCGGATGTGAAATTAGTGCAGTTTGCCGGAGCGATTTCCTCCGGCTCGGCGGCAGCCGGGCGGACCAGGGCCAGCGCTTGCGGCTGCTGCGGGGAGGCCGGCGCTCGGCGCGCCCTTGGCACGTGTGGCAGGGCAGCGGTGTGGGCAGGGGCTGGTGCGTGGGCTTTCCCACAGAGCGGGGAGAAAGGAGTGCACACACCTTTAAAGCGGGATTCTGCAGCACAAGTCTTGCATGTCCTGCTGCCGCAGGCGTAAGTCCTTCATCCGCCTGCTCAGGAGGGCTTAGCGCCCGTCTGCTTTTCTGCGAGTGAGTGCCAAGCGGGCTGCATTGGCGCGCTCAGCCCCGCAGCRTCCCTGAGGCTTGGGGGGTCTTTGCACGTGGAGCCTGAGGGCCTGTGCTGAGCTTGGTGGCACCACCACCGCGCTCAGGGCGCTGCCTTCCCTCGCAGGCGTCACCATGAAGCTCATGGACGAGGTCGCGGGCATCGTGGCGGCGCGCCACTGCAAGACCAACATCGTCACGGCCTCCGTGGATGCCATCAACTTCCACGAGAAGATCAAGAAAGGTGATGGGTGGTTGCGGCCCCGGGGCGGGAGGAGAGCGGTTCCTGCCGGGTGCTTTCAGGGGTGCCAGGGTGCGGACTGCCTTGTGCTCCCTGGCACATGTGCTGCGTAGCGACTCGCCTTGGCCTGGTGCAGAAGGTGCAGCTGTTGATTCCTGCCACTGGGCTTTGCCATTGCAAAAGGAAAATAGGGAAAGGGGAAAAAATAACACTCGCATAAGCGAGGCACAGGGGGAGGTTCAGTTTGCTGTGTTTGTTAGCGACTGTAGCTGTGATTTTCTCCTGAATTGCTGATCTGTCCGCTGGCCCTTTGGCTGGGGAAGGCTTTTATGTTCTGGATAATGGATGGCTGCTGGTTCGTGCTGATTAACCGACCCATCTGTGTTTGCAGGTAGTGTTATTACTATTTCTGGGCGCATGACCTTCACGAGCAATAAATCCATGGAGATCGAGGTCTTTGTGGATGCTGATCCCTTTGTGGATGAGCCGCAAGAAAGATACCGCGCGGTCAGTGCTTTCTTCACCTACGTGTCGCTGAGCAAGGAGGGGAAACCTCTGCCYGTGCCGCAGCTGCTGGTAAGAGCTGTGCCCCGGGGGGCTGCCCCATCCCCGTCCCCGCTGAGCCCTGCACCTGCGTGCAAGGGAGCCGCTCCGTGCAAGGGCTGCCCTCCTGCCTGAGTAGGTGCTTTCACCGCTTGAGCATTTGATTTCCTTTTTAAACCCAAATGTTGCTGCAAGAATGGGAGGCGCCAAGCTCCTCAGGGTTTTGTTTATTAACTGTGTTTATAAACACTGAATATTTTACATTCTTGGGCTCTTTATGTGATACCCCCTGGGCTTTGTTGTCCAAGAAAACACTTCCTTTCAATTATTCGGCAGAAAAATGGGAGCATAAACAAGCATTTCCAGAGCAAGCCCTCGTCCTAAACCCACTCTGGGTGACAAGTGTGGCACGGGGAGGGTTCCTCATTTGCGCCGGGCCCTGCTCAGCCGCCGGGCGCTGTGCGCAAGGCGGGGGTGCCGCGTGCTGCGCGCTGCCGGCCCCTTCCCGGCTCGCTGCCTTCCCGCCATGGCTCGCCCGGCTATTTTTAGCTCGCTGATCCCGGCAGTTCTCCGCTGCCACAAACACAGCRCGGCCGCTGAGAGTTGCTGCGCGATGAATATTTGATGCCGTGCAGCTCTGCTCTGCCACGGTGCTCTTTGCCATTTGAAGGTCTCATGTTGGCTAATTAGGAATTAGCTACCGCAGCAGCAYATAGGTATTTCACAGATGGTGGGGTTTTGTTAAACTGCCCATCGCAGGAGCGTTTGTCCCTCGCGCGCTCATGTCGGAGCGGGATGCGGCACTGGGCCCGGCAGCGCGCGGCTCCAGCRCTTGAGGACAGCGCAGCCGCTAGGCTGGAGCCGGGCCGTGCGCTGCTTTCCTGGCCGCCGCGACGCTCACCCCTCTCCTCTGTGTTGGCAGGTGGAGAGCGAAGAGGAGAAGAGGCGCTTTGAAGAAGGCAAGGGCCGGTACCTGCAGACCAAGGCGAAGCGGCAGGCGCAGCTGCAGCAGGCTGCACAGCCCTGACGCCGCCGYGGGCAGAGCCGCCGGCTGCTCGGCCCCTGCTTCGCAGCCCGCTCCGTGTTGTGTGCAGCGCGCAGGGCTCGCGCCGCCGCCGCTTTGCAATGAAGCTCGCGCCGCGAGCGGAGCGGGGAGGCTGCGCGCTGCTCCCCCGGCAGTGCCGGAGCACCCGCTGCCACCGGCGCCCACGCTCCGTCATCGCCGCCGCGGCGCTCCGGTGCCCCGGCTCAAGCAGAGCCGAGGCGCTGGCCGCTCGTGGCAGGATCCTCATGCTCTTTGTATCCGCCAGCCTCTACCCCGTCCCTCTGGTTTGACTCCAAAGCGTTGCTGCCGTCTGCATCACTGCGGCGACGGAGGCGGCCTCCGCTCTCCGTAGTGCTCTGTTAATCGTACAGTATGTCCTACAAACGTACACCAAAGCTTATTTATGATACTCTGCTGTATTACTGCAACGAGTATTGCATTGAATGTCTCGGACCATTCCATGTACATCTCTATATAGTATCTCTGTGCACATCTAAGTTATTTAAGGAATACTGTGACATAAATAAAGTCTGTTGGCCTTGGCCTGAAGTGCAGCGGGTGTCGCGCATGTTGCTGAGCAGCCGCACGCTGGCCTCGGCGCTCGCCCCTCACCGTCCCTGGCACTCTTGGGGTGGCCGCGCCTGCTCCCCTGTGTGCAAGGCCTGGCCCTGAGCAGCAGCGCGACAAGGCCGTGTGCCCCATGCGCTGCCCCCGCTCTCTGGGGACGTTGATGYGGGGTGGCAGGAAGGCCCTGCTTGGCACATCTCTCTGCATGTCCCTGCAGGCTGGAGCTGCTGCTGCCGTGCTCGCTGCTGTGCCCTAGTGCAAGCGCTCTGCGCATCGTTTCAGCGCAGGGGCACCATGACAGACATGGTGACGTGCGGGGTCCGGGTCCAAGGCTCCAGGTCCGCCAGGCGCACAGTCCCCGCACCGGGGCACATTCCCGAGCTCTGTGCAGGGCGATGGGGCAGAGCCGAGTGCCGCGGRGAGCAGCTGCTATCAGGCCGGGGGAGCTCGGGGCACGCAGCCATGGGGACGCGCAGCCGCGGGGATGCTGCGGCCGTGGGGACGCTGCGGCCGTGGCCGTGCTGGGAGCAGCCGTGCGCAGCTCCGKGCGGCCCCACGCGGTACCGGGCAGCACTGGGCGGTCCCGCGTGCCTCTGGGCGGCCCCGCGTGGTACCGAGAGGCTCCGGGCGGTCCCGGGCGGCTCCGGGCGGCACCGGGCGGCGCCGCAAGCATGCGCGGTGCCGCCCCAGCCCGGCGCGGCCGCGGAGCCCGCAGCGGGGCAGCTCCCGCCGGCGCCGCGCTCCGCGGCTCCGCAGGTAGGGCCGCGGCTCCGCGCCGCTCGGCACGGGCGGGACGCGCGGCCGCGCAGGGGCTCCGCGCGGCGCGGCCGGAGCGGCGAGCGCGGCGGGAAGGCGCCGGGCGCGGGGCCGGGCGCGCGGAGCCGCTCGCGGTGCTGCGGGAGGAGCCGGCACCTCGCGGTGGCAGCGACACGGCGGGCACGGGGGGCAGCGCCGCCTTCCTGGCCGGGACGTGGCCCGGCGGCCGCGGGGTCCGGCGGCAGCTGCCGGGGCCGGGTCTGCGCTCCGGGGCGATCCCGGCTCCGCTGCGGCGGGAGGTGCCAGGGGCGGCCGCGGTGCCGCGCGGGGCTCCCCGCTCCAAGCCACCTCCGCCGCCTCTGCTCGCAGAGCAGTTTCCCTTTTCCCCCTTCTTTTTCAAGACAGAGAATCCACGTCTCTCACTGCAAGCCCAGAATAGCAGCCGGAGCTGGAGCAAGCACGCGGCGGGGAAGCCCAGTCCTGGCTGGCACGTACAGGGCATGGGGTGGCCATGCATGCCATGATGGCATGTGGTGACGCACGGCACGGTGCCCCGGCGCAGCGCAGCCCTCCTGCCCCGTGCACCAGGGCAGCGACACCGGTGGCTCCGAGCATGGTGTGTGGCTGGACACAGCCCGCGGCACCGCAGGGCCACCCCGCTCACTAGTGCAGGTGGTCAGCGGCGCTGCGGGGCGGCTCCCTGCTCGCCTGCTGGAGCTGGGGCTGCAGCAGCGCCCGGCGGCCGCGTGCCCGGCCCTGCATGGGATGCCGCGGCGCGGAGGGCGCTGCGCGTGGCCTGTGGCCATGGACGTGGGGCCGCGGGTGCCAGGGCACGCGGTGGCCTGGCTAGCGTGCGCCGCCGTGGCGCTGCTGGCCAATGCCTGGGGCATCCTCGGCATCAGCGCCAGGCACAAGAAGTGGAAGCCGCTGCAGCTGCTGCTGTGCGCGCTGGCYGGCACCCACATCCTCACAGCCGCGTTGCCCGTCACCACGTACGCAGTGGTGCAGCTGCGGCGCTGGCACTCGGGCTACGAGTGGAGCGAGGGCCTCTGCAAGGTCTTTGTCTGCACCTTCTACACCCTCACGCTCGTCACATGCTTCTCTGTCACCTCCCTCTCCTACCACCGCATGTGGATGGTGCGCTGGCCTGTCAACTACAGGTGCGGGGCACGGGGACGGTGCGCCCGGCGCATGCCCATGGCCATGCCTGACACTCTGTCCCCTGCRCAGGCTCAGCAACGCGCGGAAGCAGGCCATGCACACTGTCATGGGCATCTGGATGGTGTCCTTTGTCCTGGCGGCACTGCCGGCCGTGGGCTGGCACGACATGGCCGAGCGCTTCTACGCACATGACTGCCGCTTCCTCGTCACCGAGATCGGCCTCGGCTTCGGTGTCAGCTTCCTGCTGCTGCTGGGCGGCTCGGTGGCCACGGGCGCCGTGTGCGCCGCCGTGGCGCTCGTGCAGAGTGCGGGGGTCCGGGCAGGCACGCGCCGCCTCAGCGTGCCTGCCATCGTGGTGGAGGATGCGCGCGGGCAGCGCCGCTCCTCCRTGGAGGGCTCCGAGCCGGCGGGCACGTCGCTGCGCGTCACCTGCCTCGTGGGCGGCATCGTGCTGCTCTACGACGTCCTCATGGGGCTGCCGGTGCTGGTGAGCGCGGCGGGGCGCGGGTGCCGGCGCGCGCGGGGCTCCGGTGACGCCGCGGTGCCACTGCCGCAGGCGCTGAGCGTGGCCGGCCTGCGCGCGGACGCCWCGCACGACTCCACGGTGCTCTGCGTCGTGTGGTGCTCGCTGGGGCAGGCGCTGCTGCTGCCGCCCTTCCTGTGCGCCTGCGAGCGCCGCCGCGCCGGCCTGCGTGCCGCCTGGGACAAGTGCCGCGCGCTGCTGGCCCGCGGGGACCCAGGTGGGCGCAGGGCGGCAGGGGTGGCAGCGTGGCGCACGGCCGGTGCTCACGGGGCCCTGCGTGCCTGCAGGGAGCAGCGTGGACGGCACCAGTGCCGCCGAGGCGGCCTGCGCCGAGCCCAGGTGCGACGCGGAGCCACCGGCACTGCCGCAGTGCCCTGCAGGCCTGGCGCTGGAGCGCGGCGCGGAGCCGGCGAGCGTGGCGCCGCAGCCATCCCCGTGCAGGATGCACTACCTGCAGGTGAGGCCGTGCCCCGCGCGGGCTATGGGGCCGCGGGGCTGCGCGCGCTCACGCGTCCCCGCAGGTGCCCCCGCTGCGCCGCCACTCGCACGACGAGACGGACGCGTGGGCGGGCGGCGAGCTCGCGGCCCCCGCGCAGCGCTGGGCAGGTCTGCCGGGCACCCACCATGCCGCGCGCCGCCGCTCCGCCGACTCCGCTGCCCTGCCCGACGACGGTGATGAYGATGATGATGACGACGAGCTGCTCCGGTGGCGACCGGCCCGCACTGCTCCCCCGGGCCTGGCTGCCTTCCCCCTGGCCACGCTTGAGCGGGAGCCGCGGCGACTGCGGTGGGCGGTGGGGCCGGACATGACCGTCGCCCCGGCGGTCCTGCCTGTCCCGGTGGTCCTGCCCATCCCACAACCGCTGCCTGTCCCGGAGCCGATGCCCATCCCACACACACTGCCTGTGCCAGGGGTCCTGCCTACCCCAGACCCACTGCCTGCCCTGGGGCTCCTGCCCGTCCCGGACCTGCTGCCCGTCCCGGACCCGCTGCCCGTGGCGGGGGCCCTGGCAGTGCCGGTGCCACAGCTGGCGCCCGAGGATGCCCCGCTCCTCGGCGGCAGCTTCCCCGGGTCGTCCTCAGCCTCCTCGGGCTACGCAACGTCGCGCTCGGGCTCGGGCGGCTCGTCCGGATAGGGCCGTCGGCTCCGGGGCAGCCGCGCGGGGCACCCGGGCCTGGGGAGCGGCGGGCGCTGCCGGCGGGAAAGGCGGCGACCGCGGAGGGGACTGGGGAGGAGTCGGGACCGGGGCAACCGCTCCCGCCCCGTCCCCCCTGCGGCGGGGCTCCGCTCCTCGCCGCCGCTGCSCGGTCCCCGCCGGCCGCACGCGGGACGGCCGAGCTGCCGGGCTCCGCGCCGCGCGGCTGCCAATAAACGTGACGGCCCCGCGGGGCCTCGGCCCGTGTGTGCGGAGAGACTGCGGGCGCGGCGGGAGCGGGAGCGGGACTGCGGGCGGGGCGGG